GTCGTGGTCGTGGTCGTGGTCGTGATAGTGGTAGTGGTAGTCGTAGTGGTAATCGTCGTAGCTGTAGTCGTAGTGAGTGAGTGGGAGAAGTAAACATTGTTTAATTGTTTGTCATATTGTATTATATGCACCGGTCCCCTGGGCTGTGCTCCGAGGCCACTAGCCCGTCCGTCACTCACACACTGCTAGGTGTACTGCGGCTCGAATTGCCAACAGTTGGAGTGCCACGGTTTTCCATTAATCATAAATTAAATCACACCACTGGGCTCATTAGGTTGATTATCCACTGAATCCACTACTGCTATTAAGCCTTACCCAGAAAGACTTAACCCGGGCCCCAACTCGCTAGATAAGGGTCATGACAAGCCCAAATGTCCTGTCATGTCACACTACAGAAAATACAATGCACTATGCACCGATGCAAACGAGAGCGGACCAAATTCATGGTACGGCATGGGAGGGCTGCGCTTGTGTTGCTGCAGAGCTGTCTCCACAGATCACAGTCACACATGCATGAATGCCCTGCGGTAACTCAACATCGTGATCGGCTGCAGTCTTGAGGCAGTCCTTCATCTGTGTTATTGCTTTGGGGCCGGCACCTGACCCCGCTTTCATCGCTCGGGAGACTACCTTGCTCATCAGAATGTACAAGACATTGCCGGTCAGAAGCCACCGAATTGCGCTGCGGTAGGAGCACTTGTATCTGCTAAGGTCAATCAACTCGACCACGCCCATTCCCATGTCGGTCGCTGCCTTCTCAACAGCCGAAATAGCTTGCTCTAACTCCGCAGCCTTTGCTGACAATTCTTTGGTCTTGTCCATACCGAAGCCACTGGTCACCGCCTCCGCCTTGATATCTGAGTAGCACTCAACACTCATGAAGAGATCCGGTATCTCAGTGTCGGCGTCGGTGATGTAGGCTGCATCAAGCTTCTCTTTGTGATAGGCGACGATGGCTTCAAACTCAGTGTCTTTCCTGGCAAGCATTGATTTCACGATGTCGTTCATAGCCTCGTAGTCGGTGTCCGATAGGGGACTGACAGGGAAAGACTTGTTCATCTCCTTCAAATCGCTGACGTAGTTGACCGTGGACAACTCCTTGCAATTCTTGAGGAATTCCATAACGGTTGTCATCCGCTGATCGGCTGAATCCGACTCGTGCGTGACCGCATCATACGACATCATGCAACCGAGCAGCATGCATGACATATCCATACCCTGACGAATGGCGTTGCCTTCGTCCCCGAGCACCGTTGAGACCAAGAGTACAGCCTCCTTTTTTTTGTCGAAGTTTTCCTTGGATTCAGCTCGAACCTCTCCTGCTGAAAGCACAGCATTCCTCAGAATCAGCATGCATTCCTGAACGTTTGTCAATGACCTGTCGCGCAAGTGGCCCTTCAGGGAATCTTCTAGCACACGGCTCACCTTGTCCTTCTCAGCCGCCAACGTGTTTGCGCACTCCTTCAGCTTACACTCCGGGTCCAGGCCTTGTGTGTGAAGTTTATTTGCACATTCTGTCAAACATGCAAAAGTAGATGCCGACTTGGATGCCCAGGCAGTCGTCAATGTTTTTGCATCCTTTTCCACCAAGGGCTGTTCGTCACATAGCCGGCGATTCAGTTCCTTCAAGAACTCATTCAGGTCCTTCAACTTCCCCACAAGAACATCCTCGCCATGACAACTGTCAGCCAGGTGGCACAGAGCACAAGATGCTTCCAGCATGGGCTCACTCAGCATTTCTGTTGTTTGGATACTGGAGCGAAGACGCTCAAGATAGGGCAGGATCTCGTTAGCCACGCACGCGAAAATGACCATGCCCACCCCGCCCCTGGCTTTCTCGAGGATGCGGCACCACTTCTCCCGATCAGCACCTTTAAGGACCTTCTGGTGCTTAAGCGGGCCTAGCTCGATCAGTGCATCGGAGAGGGCTTTGGCATGTTCGGCATTGAACGCATCCTTCATGCCGACCATAAACACCTCGGCACATACCCACTTGCTCAATTCAAGTTATGTAGCCCAACATCCTCAGCAACTAACATCAAGACCTGCACCGACACAGTGCCACACCCACACACCATCCACCCACCACCCAGTGCATTGTCTCTCACAGACCACATCGCAGACTCACAGAGACATAATGCAAACTGCGACCACTCCTAAACCCCAAAGCCCTACACCCCCCCCCAAACCCATAACATGCTGGTGGGCAACCGCCTCGACAGTGCACAAACCAGACTTGTCCAAGTAGTTCTCCGCACGCTCCATTTTCTCCAAAACCCCCGCAGCGGCACCCTTGTTCTTGGCATTCACCGCTGCAGCGTCCATCACTTTTTTGCCTTGCGGCAGTGCAAAAGCCACCGCTGCCCAATGGCTGTCATGCGCCTTGGCGCGTGCAATCGCGGCCTCAACAGAGGACGGTGATGCGCTGAAATCCAGGATAGTCCTCAGGTCACTGATCAGCCCCATATGCTCATCCAGGTCCATCCCGGACGAGATGGTTTTGATCATATTGTTGGGGGCCGAGAGCTCATCCATGAAAGCCTTCACCGTTGCAATAGAGTCAGCTGTCACTGCTTTGCCGCAAGGGATAGCCTTGATCAACCTCTGCAGAAGCTGAGAAGTCAAGAGCGAAAAGAAACCCGGATCGACAGAGGCATGTTTGTGACACAACATGTAGGTGTCTGAGAAGAAACTCTGCCACTCCATAACCTTCAGGTTCGCGAATGCCAAAGCTCTGATTGCACGCATCCATATTGCAGGTCCGGCCAGCGCATCTGGCATGCCCTCGAGCATCTCCACCAGCTGCCGGCCCTCCGTTGTTCCAGCCGACAGCTTCTTCAGAAGATCACACACATTCGTGAGATCGGTCATCAAGCCGTCCAGAGCTGAACTGAGCTGCTGGGAATCGTCCTTGCGCCTTTTCAAAGACTTCTTCTTCACATAGATCTGCTGCTTCAGCTCCTGCAACGATGCAAGCTTTTCCTTCGTCCACTTAGCGAACGCGGCCTCATCATGTGATGCCGCATCCAGAACCTTGAGCTCATCCAATCGCAGCTGATACTTGTCAATCACTTCTTGATCGTCTGATGGCATGCTTGCACCAGCACCAGCACCTACACCTACATCATGAACCTCACCACAAGGCCTTCGGGGCTGAGTTCGACCGCTCTCGGAAGCATCTGTGTGCACAGCACGCTTCTTTCCTGCTTTAGCAGCAGCCTTGCAGCTTGGGTTTGATATGGCCTTTTGTGTGGCCTTCGCTGCAGGAGCGACCTTCTTGGCTGCCTGTGAAGCTATAGGTTTCAAGCGGCCAAACAAAGCAGCAAAGGGCTGGAAGGCATCATCATCGGAGCCACCGTCCTCATGATCCAGGGATGGAGCGCCCCCATCTGTGTCCTTCGCGGCGCTGGGTGTTGCTGATGTCGAAGCCGAAGCCGAAGATGATGTGCCGCCGCTGAGCAGAATGCACGATGCATTGTCTTTCGGAGCAACTGACAAATGTTTTGCTGTTGCATTGAAGATAATGTCGTTCTGTTCAGTTGATAATACCACATCTGGGTCGGAAAGCCTGGTGGTGCGCTGAACAGTGTTCACAGTCTCATCAATGTATTCGTACACTCCGATGTCCTCTTCTGCAATGACATCTACGCCTCGGACCGACTCCCCGTCGATCTTTTGCATCTTGATCTTGCTGGGATCGGCCGCGCCGAATTTTTTCTCGTAAGCTTCAATGGCCATGAATTTACGTTTGGGTTTACGGAGTCCTTGCTTTTTTTCCTCCTGGACCGACACCGACTCCTGCTGTAGTATGTCACTGTGCTTGCCCAGCCGCATCGTCGGGTTGTTTTTTTTGTGTTGTATCAAGTTCTCCCCCTGCTCTATGTACTTGTGGCACAAACATGGGTCTGCGTCCAAAGCTGCGTCGATCGCACCCGCCGAGCCATATTTCACCAGCCAGCCGCCAACATCAGCCACCTTTCAGGGAGCTACACGAAGCCGAAGGAATGCCAAACACGCGTACCACATGTACTAGAATTAGCAAGACATGTACCAGATTTAGCATGACATGTACCCCATTTAGCGTGACATGTGTACCTATGTACCGTACCCCTGTACTGTACCATGTGTACCGTTGTACCATGTCCCATGTACCGTCGTACCGTACCCCATTTAGCATTACAGGAACCCCATTTAGCATAACATATGTTATGCTAAATGGGGTTCCTGTAATGCTAAATGGGGTACGGTACGACGGTACATGGGACGCGGTACAACGGTACACATGGTACAGTACATAGGTACACATGCCACGCTAAATGGGGAACATGCCATGCTCAGTATGGTACACAATGAGGCGACTAGACGACACTGCAGCATTACTAAGTATTACGGTATTACGGTATTACGATGAAAGCCATACATCATACAACCATAAACCCCTAAACCCCTAAACTCCTACACCCTAAACTCTAAACTTTAACTTTAAACTCTAAACTCTAAACCTAAACCCTAATAGGCCCTAAACCCCT